GAAGCCCTGTCTTTTTGGTTCCCAATGTTCTAACTTGGGCTCCAGAACCAATGTGCTGGGAACTAATTACCCCTCCCGATCCTCCAGTGTTGTAGAATGGGGGCAGGGTCCCTTCCATTCCTCCCAGGCCCTGTGAGCCCAGCATCAGAGGCAGGAAATGAAGAAGAATTTGCGATCTAATTGAGCTGGCGGGGGATTAGGCAGCAGAATGCAATTACAGGGGCTGGAGCAGGGCCAGGGGCACTGACACCCCAAGATATGACCTGGCACAGGTGACTGGGCCCAGTTAGTCTCTGGCCAGAAACGCCCGACTTGGGATTGGTTGGGAAGATGGGTAGAGGCAAGGGCTAAAACCTCAGCATACATAAGATTGCAGGGTTCCAGCTCCACATGATACCCAAAAGCAAGAAGTTTTCCTGGGAATTCTCCCCTGTAAAACAGCCCTGTGAGCCCTCATATGGAGACTAGGCAGACAGGCACACATGCTCTCACAGCCTCTATTCATGCACATACATGCATATCTTCACACTCCCAGGTAAACCCTGAATAACCATGTTCACCTGTGTTGGGGCAGCATTCCCAAATGGCAGACACACAGCTCTGGCCCTTTGCTGCCACTGGCTCCACCAAAGTGGAGCCCCTACCCCCAGCACTCATGACCTTAAAATCCTTTTATTCCTGTAATCACAGGCTGCCATCGCTGTGGATACACGCTGTCACCCTGGCCCCAGCCTGTCTCCCTCTGCAGCTTCCAAAACTCCCAGCAGGCAGGCAGACAAGGAAGCTGGCCAGTTACTACTGGGGGGCAAGAGCGGGAGTAGGGGCATCAGGTAAGAGACGTTCAATTCTCCATATAAGCTACACACACTGAGGGCCTCAAACAACCAGAAAGACTCAGAAAGACAGGCTGGCAGATAGAAATATAGCAAGAGAATGGGACACATAGCTACCAGCCACCAAAGACAGACCACTGCCCACACAGCTCAGACGTGCACATTCCCACATTCCCATGCACATGTTCACAATTCAGATATGCACTGCTAGGGAGTCAGACACTCCCAGATTTATAAGCACATACAAAACAACACATATACACAAAAATAACAAACTCTCCAAAATTCTATGCACATATAACTCAGCAAATACATACATTCCCGGATTCACAGGGACATATCCAACTTTCAGCTACACAGTCTTAGATTCACAAATGCACATGTACACATACAATGAAGATCCACACATTTCCAGATCCACAGATACATGCCCTGATTCATAAACTCATGTATGCTCAGCCTCCCACACCCTAAGACAGACATTTAACACAGATTCACATAGATACACAACCTGCAGACACACATGTCCTGAGTCATACATAAGCACGCACCATCACCCAGATTCCTACATCTGAGACCAACAGACCAGTGCCCACACAGCCTCATCTGTCAGCTGACACTGCCTCTGGCTTTAGGGGGTAGGTGGATGGTTGGAGATTCCTGGGTCTTTGAGGGGGCAGTCCTTATTGCCCAAAGCCTGGGAGGGTGGGCTCAGCATTGGGGGGAGGTAAGGGGGGTAAGAGAAAGCAGAAAAAACTTTAGTGGGATATTCTTGTTGGGCAGTAGCGCGTGAGTAATGGGGGAAGCTTTTTGTGGTCTGGTGAGTTCCAGCTATGAGTGAGAGTTTAACTATTAATACACTTAATCACGGACACTACACACTCACATACACTACCACACATACAGGGCTAGGGTAGGACCAGGTGATGGGGGTAACGGAGACAGCACCCCAGAAAAAAAGGTAAAGCCCCAATCAGGGCCCGGGGGGCGTGGAAAGGGGAGGGGCTTCAACGGGCAGGCCTCTGGAACAGAGTGATTCATTTTTGCACCCCCAGAAGGGTGGGGTTTGATACACAGCAGGTGCTTAACGAATAAATGAATTACATATAAAGAATGGGCAATAACAACTAATAACAAGCCATCCTTGATCAATTAAGGCATGCTCCTGAGCACCACGATTGAGGAGTTAATTTTGACTAAATGATCAACCCACCATACAGGGAGCTCTGGGAAAGCAGGTCTGGGTCTGACTCTGGCTCACCCTTTATGCCCCTATTCCTCCACCCTCCCTGCACCCAGATGACCTCAGTCCAGTCCATACCCCTCCCCACTTCCTAGAGAGCCCCTTATCTCTGTTACTCTCCCATAAAATAACTATGTAGGACCCTAAAGAAAGTAGGGTACTTAATTCCTAGAGACTTGGATTTTTTTAACCAGATGCAACTCTGTCCCCATACTATCAACAGGCCTGTTTCACATTTGCCAAATGGGAAGGAAGACAAAAAAGAGCTGTAAAGAGGCAGCAAGACTTGTGGGTCACAGGGGGAACCCATGTGCTTTGGATGCAGAATCCTACCCTCCCTTTCCCCCTCCCAGTCCAGCCCAGCCTGGCTTGGCCCGGCCCAGCCCAGCCCAGCCGGGTGGACATTCCAGGCCTCACGTGATAAAGACGAGGCCACTGGCCCTCGGGTAAGTCAACAGGCTCCGACGCTGGAGAGATAGGAGGCCCCGGCCAGGGTCACCTGCTGAGCCGGGAAAACAACTGGCCCAAATATACATAAATAAGGCACCAAACGACAGCCAGCCAACTAGGGGTCTGTCTTTGCAGAGGCTCACCTTGGAAAGGGAAGTGGCATGGAAAGGGAGGCTAAAATTTCCCTAGGGGCTTCCCTAGGAGAGACTCAGCTCCTGCCAGGACTAGAGGTGGGGGTGGGGGGTTGTTCTGGTGTTCTACCAGGTTCCCCAGCGTTGACAAAGAACTTAAGAGGCCAACCTCCTTCAGCTGTTTCCACCTCTTCCCAGGGCAAAAATCAAACCATCACCCCCTCTCCTCCTCCCCAAAGAGAGAGGACAATTTCCGTTCTGGGACGGGGGTGACAGCTGCAGAGCGGGCCACTCCCAACCCCTATCTCCCCCCAAGCTTCAGCTCGACTCTCAGCTAGGGAAACTGTTAAATCAACACACGCAATTAGGGGTAGGTAGTGCCCGCTTGAGTCTCCCCGCAGGGCTCTCAAAACCGGGTTTGGAGAGGGGCTGCGGGTCCCAGTTCCTTGGTTTCCAGTGGCGGTTGGAACCCACGGTACGAGCGTCTTTCGGTAAAGAGATCAGGTCAAGCTTAGGCCAGTAGGCCCCCTCCCCCGAAACATCTCATTTATATGCTTCCAATCCCAAGGACGGGCACCCGTAACCCCCGCGGGCTGGGGCAGCAGAGGTGGCGCCGGGCGTTCAAATCGCGCTCCAAACAAGTCCGCGGCAACCGCGCTCGCAGCCCCCGCCAGGCGGCCCCAGCGGAAAACTTGAAAGGGACTCTGTTTGCCGGCGGCCCTGGGGCGGCTCCGGCGGGGGCGAGGGCAGACCGATCACATTCGCCCCCCTCTCCAGCGCTTCCTGAGCAAAGGCGTGGGGGGTGGGGGGCTAGCCCACCACAAATCTAAGCGCTCCAAGCAGCGCCCGCTGCTCATGGAAAGGCGGGGATCAGAAGGCTGGTCCGCCAGCCACCCCTACAGCTCCCCCATCTGAAGACGCGACTCGGACCACCCAGATTCCGGGGGGCAAAGCAGAATGTGACTGCTAAACCTTCAAACTCCTGTTACAGGAGACTTGAGGAAGAGGGTCTTATCGAATAAGTCAATACAGAACCCCCCAAATTTACTGGTGTTTCATTGCAGCCCATGGCACGAGCCCAACTCCGCTCGCCCATTCCTATTCCCAAGGAATAAAAAAGAACAAAAACAGATCTTGCTCATTCATTGGGCACTTCAAATCTTCTGACAGATCCTGAAAGTGGCCCCCCATTTAAAAACTGGGGTCGCTTACTTCAGTTGATCCTACAAATAAACAAAGCCTGGCGCACCTCGCCGGAAAGCAGCCCATTCTGGGCCAGGACAACTTCCCTCGGTCAGAAAATTAACACATTCCTTTCGCAGTGGTTCAACCCCTCACTCAGCTCCTGGGAAGCGAAGGGCGTGGGGGTCGGGCCGAACTTCAGGGTTAAATTTGGGGCCAGAGCAGAGTGGCTGGCAAGCGCCTGGGACGCCCGCCTCCCACAGCTCCACAGCTAGAGCAACACCCCCATTCTCCTTCCCTGGCTTTGCACGCTGTTTGGCCCACGCGGGGCTCGAGAGACAGCCCATAAGACTCCCAAAGGTTGGGGAGGGAAGAAGAGAGAGGCCGCAGGGCCCCGTGGTGGTGGGGGCGACACTTTGACGGAAAAAAAAAAGGTCAAACTTGATCAGCCCGCCAGGCACCCTGAGGGCAGCGGGGGCGAGGAGCCGGAGGGGAAATGCAGAAGTGGCCGCCGACTCTTCCGAGAGGTGGGGGAGGCTGAGTGAGCTACGCGTGGTCAAGGGTGCTTAGAGCAGTTACCGGAGCCCCTAACGCAGGGCTGCTCGTGGGGTGGGGGGGCCGTGCGCGCCGGAGATCTCTAAGCAGCCGCCCCCGCAGGCGGAGCGTCCGCCCAACGCGGAGAGGTGAGGACCCCAAGAGTCCGCCGCCCCAACGCCCGCGAGCTCCAGTAATGGGGGGCGGCACCCCACAGGGAGAGCCCCAGCCCTCCACCGCGCCCAACCAGCCGTCCTCGACCCTAAAACCCCTCTTTTTGTCTGAACTCAGTGATCTGCGACCGAGTATACTGCGGCTTGGGGAGGATTGGGTATAGCAGCAGCCACCGAGCGATCACCAGTGCTACGTCTCCCAAGCTCCGGGGCTCCGCGGCTCAGGCTGAGGGTGCCCCCTACACCTACCAAACACGGACCCCTCCCTCCCAGTCTCTGGCTCTCCGCACCTGAACTTTGGGGAACCCGCGCCGCCAAACTTTCCGCCGACTCGCACCGAACTCCGGCCCTGGCCGCGCACCGAACCCCGGGGGAGGAGAGGGAGGGAGGGAGGAGAAGGGGAAGGGGCCGGACTCCGGGGGGGGTCGAGGGAGGGCCGTGGCCCGACACCTACCCGCTCTCCGAGTCGTCCAAGCCGCCACCGCCGCCGTCGCCGCGAGGCCGAGGGGGAGGGGCGGGGCGGGGAGCTGCGCTCCGCTCTGGGCACCGCCGCCGCGGTGCGCTCCGCTCCAGCCGCCAGCCGTGCTCGGGTCCGGAGCTGGAGTCGCGCCGCCGCGGCTGGCCCGAGGCGGGGGGGGGGGGGAGCCTGCAGCACCTGCCCCTCCTCCCCCTCCCCGCGGCCCAAATTAAAAAACAACAAAAAGCAACTAATCACCCCCGAGCGGAGTGCGGCGCGGCGGGCGGAGGGCTCTGCGTGCGGCGCCCGGACTCAGCGGGCGGCGCGCATGGTTGGGCGCGGGCTAGGCAAGGTTGGGACGGAGGGCCTAGTTTCGGGGGGGTGGGTGAAGCTCAGTCGCTCTTCTCGCTCGCTCGGGCGCCTGCTCTTGCCGCCACCGCCGCCTCTGCTGCCGCCAATGCCGTCGCCTCTACATCCCAGCTCAGGCTCCGCCGCCTCTGCCGCCGCCACCGCGCGCCCGCCCGGGCAGGAGCTCTGAACGCTGCCCGGGGGCTGCCGGCAAAACCTGGACCGGACTAGACACTCCCTCCTCCTTCTCCCCCCCACCTCGGCTCCTCTCCCTCCTCCCGCCGCCTCCCTCACAGCGCAGATCTGGCCACTTGGACGCCGCAAGCTCTGAGGCCGGAGCCGCAGCCGCTGCGCCTCCAGCTCCCTACGCCCTGAGGAGATACTCCCAGGCTCAGTTCCCTTGCGCGCCCACTCTTTAGCTTTTTTCCACAACTTTACAAAAAGAAGACATCCCTCCTTTGGGGAAGGGTGACTGAGCTTTAAGACGCACCTTCTGGGAAAATCTGCCCGCTCTTCAGCGAGGCAAGAGGCTTCGAGAGAGGGTTTCGCTGCGCCACCAGATCAAGTGCGCGGCTGAGGGGATTCCTAACTGAGGGCTCTTGGAATTAGACGCTTGTCCAAAGACCCCACCCTTGCCAGGCTCAGTGAGCACTAGGTGTCCAGGAGAAAAGGGAAAGGTCTGCAGGAGATTCCTGCCCCCATTTCACAGATGAGGAAACTGATTCAAGAAAGGTTACTTTTTCTTTTTTCCCCTACGCAGGCGCCAGTATAAACTCCCAAGTCCTGGGGCTAAAGCGACTTGTACATTGTGGTGCCCTGAGACCATGAATTACCAACCCAAGAGCCTGAGAGAGTGCAGCCCTCAATAGATATTGGCTGAAAGAGAAAAAAACCTCAGCCTCACTGGAATAGGCGAACATGAGGACAGATTTGGGCCACACAACCTCGCTTTTTTTTTTTTTGAGACAGAGCCTCAAGCTGTCCCTCTGGGTAGAGTGCTATGACATCACAGCTCACAGCAACCTCCAAGTCCTGGGCTCAAGCAAGTCTCCTGCCTCAGCCTCCCAAGTA